TTTATATATATCATTTTTTTAATCTATTAAGAAGTTTATGTGTTATAAATGTTAAAAGAAATTTTTGGCATTCAAGCAAATGTTACACACACTAATTAAAAAAAAGAGAAAGGATTTGCACACTGACTGTTAATGGTAATGTGTGTTTAATTATTCGTGTAAAATCATTATGGAAAATTTTAATTAATATTATTATTTTAGTAATGTGAGAATTATTCATGTATAATCATATTGATATTTTTGAGAATCATTCAATTTGTTTATATTATTATTTAGCAATTAATTAATCTTAACATAGTAATGTGGTTTTTTTTATAAAATCTATATCACGTGACTCCATTGAAACGTGATTTAAATATTAAATCCGTTGAAACGAGAATTTTTAATTATAATTAATAAAATCAAGGGGTAAAGCCAAAAATCCGTTGAAACGAGGGTTCGACTGTATAATGGAGTAAATTTATATTCATAAAATTGGGTTTTTTAAAAATGACATAATAGATAACAATATTGTCATTATAATGAAGTCATTATAACGATGAGCATTGATCATAAAGAAGCATTGAATTTACCAAGTATTATAGTAATTGGTTGGTAGTCAAGGTTCTGGTAAGTTATGTATTAGAAGCAATTGTTGAACATGACTTTTTGCCAAAGTTCAACTTTTTTATTTTTAAATATACTTGTATATATATTTATTTAATTATAATTTTTTGATTGTTGAATTGATTTTCAGAGGTCACTGAAAATCTTTAAATGCATGTATTAAACTTTAATAACTAATCAATCACACGATTACTATAGAATCTTTGTGCAATCGGGGCCGTGATGCAATTCTTTGCCTTGTTTATGATTACAGAATTGCAGCAGGAAAAATCTCGTAATAGTAATTAATTATGGCAAGAAGGGTTTAAAACTAAATTCCGTAAATAATTACGGTCACCGTAATTTTGGCTACCGTAAATAATTTCAGTTTCGTTCTTGTTTTTCAAGTTCAAAATTGTAGAATCATCAAATAGGTATTATTCAAAAACTGTTGAATTGATTAGACCAATCTGAAAGAAGAATATCAACTAATTTTCGAATCTCTCTTTACCGAAATTTACAAGATTTGGTATAAAATGTAGAAGGGAAGATCGCCAAAGTTATTCCTTCGAACATAACTTCCTTGCAAAGTGGCAACGGTTCTTATTGTAAAAGTGTGGACAAAATAACAGTCTGTTGTTAAAAATAGATTCATGTGATACACTCACAGGAAAACCTCAAGCGGGGATAGTAAGTTTTTATAAGGTTTGCATGATTTAATTATTTGCTGATTGATCAATCAATGCTTTTTTCTTTATAGTGAACAAAATATCAATTTTTGCGTCATTTATTAAGAATTGAAATATGAACTTACTACTTGATTTCTTTTTATTGTTAATTATGCCATCATTATCGGTATGGTTTAGATCTTACACGAAAAATCATCCTAAATTAAAAATCAAAAACACAGGAGGAGGATACGATTCTAAAAGAGTTTTACATTGAAAATCTTTATTAAAAAGCAAAGAATCTTTGAGATTTAATATTAATTATCTCAAAAAAAATTTAACCGGCCATATTCGAACATTCAATCCCAAAATTACTGATTCGAACTAAAGACACTTACCATAAATGATTGGACTGGTAGCTACCATTGCCGTAAATAGCTGTTAGTAGCCGCGGATAGTTTTCAAGATTAACATAATTATCGTCATATTAGTCGTGAAAAAATTCCGTAAATATTTTATAATTGTAACTACCAGGGTAACTACCTATTACTATGGTAGTTACCATTGCTGTAAAAAAACAATTACAGAAGGTGTCTTTAATTCGAACCCGAACATTCCAGTAAGTTCTAATTTCAAAAACTTCTAATTCATTATGAGAAACTAAGTTGTGCGACATTGATATCATTTTTATTGGTATTATATGTTAATAAAACTTTTAAGCATACGTATTTTTTGCGATCATTTCCACCCAATCAAGTGATGATAATATATTATACAAATTTGCTCAGCAATATCATATGTCAAATTACATGCCCTAGGAGCATTTTTCTTGTATCGTATCTTCTTATTCATCAGGAAATTTTTTCTGGCGCGGATTTACGTAAGTTTACGGCGGGTCCCGTAACTTTATGCAAATAAGCATACAAAAATTATGCAATTATTACATTGAGTGTAAATATTACATAATTTTTTATGCAAATATT